TTCCTGCACTTGAATGTCACGGTCTTGCAAGGAAAATAGTATTTTTCCACTTACGGTTTTTACTCATTCCAGGAGAAAAAGAGATGGCAGCTGAGCTGGAGGAGCTTTACGGAGACATCGACGCCATGGAGCTGTACCCAGGCCTGCTCGTGGAGAAGCCGCGCCCAGGTGCCATCTTCGGAGAAACGATGGTGGAGATCGGAGCGCCGTTCTCCCTGAAGGGCCTGATGGGCAATGCCATCTGCTCCCCCGAGTACTGGAAGCCCAGCACCTTCGGCGGGGACGTGGGCTTCGACATCGTCAACTCCGCCTCCCTGCAGAAGCTCATCTGCAACAACGTCCAGGGCTGTCCCTTCACTGCCTTCCACATCCTGAGCCCTGAACCCACAGAGGCCACTATTAACGTTAGTACCTCGAAAACAGCAATGGAAGATATCAACCCCACGCTACTACTGAAAGAGCGGTCTGCCGAGTTGTAGATATCCACCTATTTATTTATTTAACTGTTATTTATTCTATTTATGGCTTAGTATTTAAAAACTAAAAAAACTTGAGCATCTTCATTGTGCAGGTTGCTTTAGGTTCCTTACTCAGGTAAGGCATCCATTTACAAAAGGGATTTTCTGTGTTTGAGCTTGACCGTGGTGAATCCCTTGTTCAAAATCTTCTGTAACAGAACTATGTATTCCAAAGTGGACCGAGGTTCCAGCTTTTTGTTTAATATTGTTTTAATACTTGATGTGGGGTGGGGGTGGTGATTTTGTCTGTTCACTTGATAGGTCGTGTAACACTACAAAAACAAGTTTTAGCCTCAACAAGTTCTTAAACTTGAAAACTGCTGTTGAACTAAAAGTGCAATGACTTAATGAAAATTGCCAGAAGTTACTATGAATTCACTCACAGGCTAACAAAAAAATACATATACTTGAGAGTCATTTGCGTAAGGTCAGAAAATGCATTGTATTTATCGTTGATACTACCTCTCCCTCACTGCAGATAAGGCACTTTGTGTAGTAACTAAGATGTTTCTGGTGTGTAAATCCACTTTCATGTGGCATTACACTTTTAAAAAATTTAATTATTTTAAGAAAATAGAGCTTTTCTTGGCTTTTTGAAGCACGTGTCGCCAAAGTGCCAGTTGTGCCGGGGATGAGATTGAGGCACTGACCCTCGGGCTGTTTGTGTTTCCACGTGGACGTTTTTGTTACGTAGCTTTGGGGAGGTCTCAAACTGACCCAGAGTATTAGAGTTCTTTTCATAGCTGTAGTTCGCGGGTTTACTTGATAATGCAGTTGTAATGCCTGCCACTTTAAGGACAGAACAGCTGTAGTTAGGGATGTGACTGTAGCATAGCTTTGTGACCCCAAAATGGGATTGCTGGGGAGCAGTGAAGACTGAGGAGCTGTGTAAACACACAGAGCCCTGAATACAGAAGCACTTCAAGGCTCAGAGACTTGAAGGTGGCTGATGTCTATGTACACAAGCTGTACATGCCATTTATAGTTCTATTTATTGGGGGGAGGAGGGATAACGTTTTATTTATAATTTATAAACAGAGGCATTTTAAGTAAGTAACTTCAGCTTCATTAAAACTGGCTAGCACAAAATCTTCTAGACATTTGTCCTGCTCCAGCACTAAAATATCTAGACTCATCTGGGCCCATAACAAGTTACACAGGATCTTGTGCCAGCATTTCAGACTTTGCATATAAGGGTATCTTTTTTTAATTTCTAGAGAGGAAATGTAGAAGATGATCTTCCCATAAAAACAGCTGGGGAACTATAGGGAAAAAGTCACTTCAGACTGGACTAGCACAGCAACCTGCTATTCTGTGCCCTTGCCCAAAATTCCATGACTACTTGTGGAAAAGGACTTGAGTTTTCTATTTCATCTGAATCTCTCAAATACTTGCAGAGGCTCATGCGTTGTCGCAGCTCTGGCAATAGTGTAGTTTGTCTGCGACTTCTGTCTCCAGTGCTTTGTTTAGAGACAGCGATGGCCTTATGTTGTGCAGGTCTGTCACTGCTGCTGTGAACAGCTGAATCTGATCTCCTGCAGCAGGCGATACCGGTGACTGGTTTGGGGTGGTCTATAGTGCTTTGGGAGCAAGAAGGACATTTGTTCTCCTTTCTCTATGTGAAGTATGAAGAAGGGAAAACCTTCTCTCACCTTTTATCAAAAGGTGGCCAGCACTGTCTGCTAACAAGGGAAAACTGCTTGGGCATTTGTTCATTGTGTACTTGTCACTGGGATCCATCTTTGGAGCACCTTAGGAGCATTATTCTACCCTTACCCCAGGAAAAGTGTTTGGCTTACAGTCAAGGGGAGGCAAGGCCAGACAGATCTAGTCATTTGGGGATAGGTAAAGAGGAATTTCTCAGACCGTGCCATCTGCGTTGTGGTACGAACTGCTTCGGCAAGGAATCCTGTTCACTGCATTTTGTGCTCTGCAGCCACGTTTCGGCTGTCGCTGGTCTGTGACCCAGCCTGCTGGGCTTGGCTGGGTTCAGCTTGCTCCTGTAAGTGTGTATGTTTGGGATTATTTATTTAAAATTCTGTGAATTTTCACTTTATTTTTGTAGGACAACAAAAGTTGTTAAAATGCAATTGTTTATATAAATAAATAAAAACCATTACCTTTATGGGCTCTTTGCTTATGATTTCCTTCAGCAATGTGTAGTACAAAACATTTCTTTAATTTCTTTGCCACTCACGATTAAATGGAGGATTCCAGGGAATTACGATAGTGGCAGTAAATTCTCTCATATAGCAAACCCAATACACCTGTACCTTAAATTGTCCAAGTATAGTAATTTTCACCCTTTGGTCACCAGTGGAAAGGCATTTGGCTGTGCCACCCCTGGAGAAGCCAGCTGCTTTTAGCCATAGTGAAGATGCCAGCAATGCCCTGGCAGCTAAAGCTGCTTTAGAGGGAAAGGACCGTTGGAGTTGCACAACACTACCTTGGTGTAATTGAATTCCCTTCCTCACTTCCCCTTTTCCAAACAAGAACAGTTCACAGCTGTTTCCCTTCATGCCTGGCATACTGCAGAAGGGGAAACTGCTTTGGGATACAAGTGACCACTGAGCCAGAGCAGGGGTGTACTCCACAAAAACAGGGGCAGGAGTAGCAGGACCTTCTGCAATGTGTCCCCCTCCTACAAGGGCCACCTTGGAGGCCACCCAGCCTCTTCCTTACATTTCCACCTCTGATAAGAAATGAGGGGAAGCTGGGAAGGAGATATTCAGAGGATCATGCACTTCTTACTGCCTCCGTCAACTCATGTCACCATCCTCTGACCAAACATCACCTCAAGCATCTTTCTGTGCTCAGTCCCCCCTGCTATCATCCCACTGCTGCTTGTCGCCAGTACTCCCCCATCCCAATACTGGTGGCTCGCCCCCTCAAAGCCTCTGCCTAGTGACCAACCCCACAGCCACTGTCCTTCACCCAGAGCCACCTTCCTTCCAGCTACCCAAAATCCTCTTTGGTTCAAAGCTCATCCCAGTATTCCACAGGTCAACATTACCAACAGCCTTCAGGCCTGGAAGTATGACAGTCCTGCCTCTGCTTTGGAGCTCCTTCCCATCTCTACCAGCAAGCACTTTGCTCACACTCCTATTGTACCCAGGTACCTAAACACCTCCAGCAATGCTCAACTTAAAACTCAGCTCTCGTCACTTCAGCGACCATCTTCAGCCCCAGAATGGATCATCCTGAGCACCCTTCCAAAAGCATCACTCCTGACGCATGTGGAGGTTGTGGGTGAACGTGTATGAGCAACGTGGGGGTTTTTCTTTAACAACCAGTCAACTCATTCTCTCTAGCAGTTAATTAGTTTCTGACATGTGCCCATTTGGAGGGGTAGCCAAGCGAGGGAGTGAGGGAAGACAAGGTTGGTCGCTTCAAGGGAGGAGGATGGGCGCAGCTGCTGGTGAGGAGCTGTGTGGGAAAGCCCCACAGTGAGGAGGTCATCCACAAGGTCATCCACAGAGAAGGTGTTTTGGGTGACTGCTGCCCTAATTAGGGAAGGGCCAGTCCAGATGGATTCACACACAATGGATGAGATAGCTTGATCGAGAAGGAGCTCCTCCTTCCCTCTGAGCAGGGGCATGTCCTGATGATACAAAAGACAAGAATGTTCCCCAGAGGAAACCTGCCCTGAGAAATACTTGTTCTCCAGCCTGGGTTGAGGTAACTGTGCCACTCAAGGCAGTGTGGTAAGGAAGGGGGGCTCAGCCCTTGCAGGCAGTGCATCCAGGCACAGGAGAGCTCCGTGCTTTGGGAACAGGTCACTGCACAGCAGCCGCTTTACCAAGGGCTCTCTGTACGTCACTCGCTCACTGCCCACTGCATAGGAGCTCTTTACAGGTGCTGAGTCGGAGTCCTGTGGGCATCTGCCCAGGTTTAGTCCTGATCCACTCACCTGTGCTGAGCACAGTGCTCCCAAGGCAGCTGCTCTGCCTGGATTTCAGAGACGTTTCAATCACAGGTGGCTTCTGCATTGTGAGAAAATACTCCTTTGGCTCTCAGCACCCATCCAGAAAAGCCAACAGGTAGTTTGCCCAAGTTGCAGGAAGAGTAGAAAGGAGAGAGGGAATGGACACGTCACTTGTTCCTTGCCTGCTCATAGGTACTGAAATAGGTGAACAGCTTTGGAACAGCTTATTGCAAAGACATGCTATTTCCTTTGGAAGGCCAGGAAGGGAAAATCTGAATGTTATAAGAATGTATATACATAGGACAGAAAGGAGCAGGCTGTACTCTAAACACGGAAAGGAGGTGAAGGGAGAGAGCCTAACGTCTTTGCTACAAGGTATGAAAAAAGCCACAGAACACAGAAATGCAGCAATATCCCAAAGAAACATCATATGGAAAAAATTCTCCTTGGGAAGAGCTGAGTGCTCCTCTGCCTTCAGTCTGGGGGTTCAGCCTGGAAATAACATTATACTGAGGCAACTGGATTGGTTTCCATTTAGAATTCTTTTCCTCTGAAACTCCTTTTCTTTTTGTTTTAAATTAGTACACAATCTGTGACCTCTGTACTTACTTACTCTGCAAGTCCAGGCTTTTTCATTAATATTGGCAAGAGACAGATCACAACCAAAATAAAACCCAACCAATTTTTCAATTCTGGGATTTTCTTGTCTGAAAATCAAGTTTGCACTGAACATCTCAGCACTCACTTCCAGCCACACTCAGGGTTCAGAAGGCAGAGACAGAGGTGGCCTGGGCAGGCTGGGAGCTGAGCACCATCCGGAGAGGAGGCGATTAATGCCAGCGAGCCCTCACCAGATTGCCACGGGGAGAGCGCAGGGTACAAAGCACTCTGGGGCTGAGTGAGGACAAGCTGACTGCTTGTCCTCAGTTCTGGGCAAGCCAAGCTATTTTATCCAGTGGGTATTCCCCATGGGATAGAAGGCAAATCTGGGGGAAGAAGGCAAATGATATTCAAAACATCTACTTTCAAACCAACC